GGGGGGAGAGAAGCTGAACCGAGAGGGGGGGCAGCCTCCTTCAGCAGCCCGGGCGGAGTCTTCCCCTGCAGAACCTCGGGGTGGTTCTGGGCGTTTTGTGTTCTCAAGATCAACGCTTTGGACCATGAGCCACCGTGGCACCCAGAGGCGGGACAGACGGGGTGCAAAGGGGGCGAAAGTGAGCCCAGAGCCAGCTTTACCACTCGCCCACTTGGCCAACACTCAGTCCAACAGCGAACACCACACCTCACCTTGTCTTTGTACGTGTCGGGCAGCGATTTGGCAGTCTCGGTGTCTTCTGGAAGGCTGATGTAAAACCCCAGGACATCGCCCTGTCCGTAGCCAGACGAGTAGTGTTTCCCTATCGACTGGTGAAACTTGGTTCCCTTTTTGCTGCGCCAGGAGTAACTGAACTTGTCGTATCCCAGCGGCGCCTGGAGGTTCCCTGCAGAAACCACCGTCTCCATGAACACACGGAGCAGCACAAGCACCTCCGCGCGTCCCGCTTCCCGTTTGGGAGCGCTAATTACAGCCCGTTAACAAACACAACTGCCAATTAGTACGAATGCGTCCGCTACAGCGTTAAGCAAGGCCAAGCGTGCAACAGCACAAAGGATCCACCCGTACTGCAGTGCTGCACAGGGCAGATCACCTGCAGAAAGAGCCTCCCCTTAACAGAAGCAGGGAAGAAGCAGACAAGCTGAACAGGACTTTTCCTCCTTGAGTCTAAATTACCGGGGAAAGAAACGTTGGAATCCACCGCTAAGAAATATTTGGTACCGTTATTTACCTAATGGCTGTGACCAGCCTAATCTGGCGGCTGTGTCCGGAGGCATCTCATCCATGGATATTTCAAAGTACCAGGCTCCTTTCCGCACCCCGTGCGAGGCTCGCACCATCGAGTAGCCCTTCTCGCCGATCACGGTCAGCCTGTCGTCGGAAATCTTCAGCTGAGGAGCTGCGGGGGATGAGGGGAGACACGAGCAGTTCGTCTGCGCCCCCTCGTGCGCGGCGATGCCCGAAGGCGAGCGAAGCGAGCGCGGTGGATGGGACCC